CCAGAGAATGTCATCCCAACATACTGCTGGCATGCTGAGTGTATTATCAAAGGAACTCTGGGAGCAACCAGGCAGGAGCCTAACTCCACCCCCACCCACCCCAGAGGGGTGGTAGATCAATCACCTCCGGTCCCAGCTGAACCTGCATTGCAAAAAGGCAGGTCCATCGGGGCCTGGAGAGACTCACACCCCACTTTCCTCTCCATTAGTCTCACTCAGTATTCCATGGAGAACTCTTTCCAAACCACTATCTGTTCCGCAGCCTGACAACTTGGTCCCAGGCCATTGGTACTAAATTCCCCCATGTCATTAACTATCCTCCTGATGTTCCCCATGACCCCTTCCCTTCCAGAAAATGGYACATAAGCTAGTAAATCACTTTGGCCAAGAAGGTGAGTAACTTTGCATAGCTTTTCCCTCCTTCTAATCTCCCTGCTGCCAGCTCTCTTCAGTGAGGCTTGTAGGGAGAAGGGACTTTCCCTTCTGCCCAAGTACTGGCCAGTCCTGAGGCCAAACCCCATCTTCACTGCTATAAAACACAGTGGGGCAAAGACCCCTGACTATCAGTGAATTCACTTCACAGGACAAGCACAGTAAAGGCACACCGCAATGAAAAGGGGAAAATAAAAGGAAATCTTTGTTCAGCAAATATTTCCTGAGCACTGACTAAGGGCAGGCCACATATGGCAATCCCTACAGGGCGACTCCAGCAGGCAGTTCCTCCCCCTGCATATATATATGCAAATATAAGCATATGACTCATCAGGCAGTGAGAAATTATATGACAACAGATAGAGGCAGCAGGGGCCACCAAAGTTTCCTGGCTCCAGGGCCAGGGCAGGCTGCCCAAGGAAGTACAAGTCTTTGCAGAAATCTGAGCAAAATAAAAGAGTGAGTGTGAGGATTTGGAGACACCCAGGCAGAGGGAGCAGGGGGTGTCAAGGTGTACAGCCCTGCYTGCTGCTGGTGTTAACAGCAAGTAACTACAAAGAAGGGCAACAGAGCCCCGAGGCTGGGGTGCTGTGCAGGGGAGCTACAGGAGCTGTCAGGCTGAGCAGAGAATTGATGAAACTTCACATYCAGGTTAAAGGGATCACTGTTTCTACCAGGTGGAGGCAGGAGTCAAGGACAGAAGCCTGAGAACCCAAGGGGGGGCTGGGGAAAAGTCTAGGCAGAAGGTGGTAGAGCAGGGGGAGAACAGTCAAATTCTAACTAGTTATCCCTCTGTTCCATGAGGGATGAGTTCCAGATACCAAATGCCACAGGTGCTCAAGTACCTTATATGAAATATGTAGTATTTTCATAGAACATGTATGCACACTCCTATATTTTGCTAAACAATCCTCTAAGACAAGAACTCTGAGGCAAGGAAAGTGTCCCTTGTCTGAAGTCCAGAGCTCTGTCTTTTCTAAGGCAGACCTTGCACCTGTTTGATCCTCAGTGGCCCTGCACATAGGTTATTTGAACCACAACCTCCCTCCTCTTCCTTCCTCCATTAATACCCCCTTGAGCATACTTTACTGTATGAACTTGCTTCTACTGTTGGCATGCATTGAGGGGTAACCCTCATTGAGTCATGTTCTTGGGGGTAAACCCTACTAGAATCCCCTCCACTAGACTTGACAAACCTGTGACCTTCTTCCAGCCCACAGAAAGTGGCAGATTATGTAATGTCACTGCCATGGTTACACTGAGATTTCGGAGTCCACTTGGCAGACCCAAGGAAGAGGTGGGAGGTGGGAGAAGACTCCTGAGAGCCTTGAAGGAACAAATGGCCCTACTGTGTGAGGCTTCRAGGGAGCCATGTGACACCTCTAGAACTCCAGCTGACACCAGCAGGGGCCCTTGGTTTTATAAATTCAAGATGAGTTTCATAAAGTAGATTTTTTCACAGTTCAGCCTCTGATAAGATGTTGGTCTTAGTGCAGTGAGATCCTGGCAGAAGACCCAGTAAGCCAGGCCTGGCTTCTACAGAGATGGTGAATTAAATGGGGTTGGGGGTGATTTTTTTATCAGCATAGAACATGAATATAACTACCAATTCTATTCACATGGCTGTATTTGATGCTGTCCAACTCATAAATTAAGGGGGAAAGTGTCATTTTCACCTTGTCTGCTTAAGACAGTATCTGAGGGTGAGGCTAAATAGACATTCTCATACTTTGCAACCTTTATGGAATATAATTTTACCATTCCTTCAAATGTACAATTACATATATCCTCTCACCAAGCAATTCCATTTGGGGGAGTTTATCTATAGGTATGAAAGACACCCCGTTTATGAAAGACCCCCATTACCCTGTCCAAGGAGAATCACACGAAACACTGGCTGCAAAAGCACGAGGTGGTTTATTGAGACACAGGCGCCTGCGGGTGCCCAGCAGAACCTCAGTCGGAGCTTTGGTGAACTGGCACACCGGGCTTGGGGATACAGAGATTTTTATAGGGTTTGGGACAGGTTTTGCGCGCGGGAAGCAACAGGTTTCTTATTGGTTTGTNACAGGTTTCTTATTGGTTTGTTTAAATCTAGCATATAGGCCACCTAGGGGGTACAGGTCTGCATTCCAAAAACCACAGGTCTGCATTCTATTCTTTCTGTTCCTGCTTATCTGTTCCTGTTTATTCATTCATGCCTCAGGATGTGGGTGCTCTGTCCTTTCTCAACCGGTTATATGGAAAGCACATCCGGTGCCTGAGCCTGTTTATGACAAGCCCGTTATCTTGATTTCATATCTTGGCCTTAGGTAACTGGGCTAACTGGGCTAGGGTCTTTCAGGTACACTTGAATATGGATAACAACACAAATACTAGGGGGTTCAGTAATCATGGTTTGTGATAGCAAAGACTAGAACACTGCCTAATTGTCCACCAACAGGGGATTGTTAAGTGTATTACAGTCCCTAGAAATGCTAAACAGACTTTAAAAGAATGAGTAACATTTTTACATACAGAAACAGAAAAAAATCAAAAATATATTTGAAGTTAAAAAAGTCAAGGTGAGGGGCTGGGGCTGGGGCTGTAGTTCCATGGTAGAGCACTTGCCTTCCATGTGTGAGGCACTGGGTTCAATCCTCAGCATCACATAGAAATAAATGAAGATATTGTCTATCTACAACTAAAATTTTTTTTTTAAAAAAAAGAAAAAAAGTCAAGGTGAAGAACAGTATCTACACTACATTAAAAGAAAGGTAATTTCCACATCATTTTTAGACAAAAAAATCTATTATTACAAAATAATTATAATACTGTAATTACAGTATTATATTTACTATCACATTTAAAGTGAAAAAAAAATGTGCTTTTCTGATGCCCTAATAATCATACAGCAAAAATCACAAACTCAACTGATATGAAGCTTGGGCAGGAAACTTAAATGAACAAAGAAGGACCAGAGATAGGAAAACTGTGGGGATTGGGAGGACCTCAAAGTCAGGTGCCATCCACAGGTCCCTGTCCAGAGTGCAGGGCAAGGCTCTTCAAGACCTCACAGCTCTCCTCCTGCCCCAGCACTGGGTAAGGCCCTTTCTAAGGAYGGTGTCAAATTATTTTCCAATTTCCTGAGGGGGACTATTACTATTCTCATTGAAGCCAGATTTAAAGATGAGTAGTTAGTGTAGTTAGGTATATCCGGTCTAAAATCGAATAAAATAAAGAAAATGGAGGCCATTATTGAGAATGGAGTCCAGGAAACCAGAGCAACCCGAGGGGAAATTGAAATGTTAATGTGCCCAAGGCCCGAACCCATTCTAAGGAACTGTTAATGAAGCAGCTCCCAGCAAACAGGGAGGTGCTAATCAAAAGCAGCCCCAGGCCCTTCCTGCCCAGATTACTCCTGCAGCCCACCTATCTCCCTTGGGCCTTCCCACCTGCATTCTATCACTGCAGACAAAGGGAAACAAAAGACACGAGTGTGGGAAAGCTGAAAGAAGACCTTAGCTATAAAAAAAAAAAAGGGAAGACCGCCCTCTTCCACAGATTCCACCTTTTGGGTCCTCTTCTTCCTCAGGGGAGAAGTCTTTTCTGCTGTCCTTTAATAAAGCCTTCCACTTTCCACTCTAAACTTGCCTCCCCAGTTCTTCTCTGGTGTTATACCTCAGCATTGGGGGAAGCAAGGACTGTAACCGGTAAACAGCGGTAACATCATTTTACAGATGAAAAGACTGCAATTCAGGTTAAGTGGCTACTCCCAGAACCGCACAGTAGGACTCCTAGGACTTGTTTGAGCACCTGCTCTCTTAAACTCTCACCACCTACACTTGAGCAGAAGCACTCCCACCCAACTGCTTTGGGACCACCCCAAAATCCTCGAACTGGTGGGGCTGTAACTCCACCCTACAAACAGATAAACAGAAGAATGCACACACATCCAAGTTGATTTCCGTAATTGTAAGAGGTTAGTTACGTTGGAATGCAGCTAACACGTAGGACTTATTAAACTGTTCCTTTGAGGTATAATTTGCATGTGTGAGATTGGCCCGTATTAAGTGTCCAATGGCACGAGTTGTACTTATTCAGCTGATMTTCCCTGCCCCAAAAGTCCCATCCGCTCCTGCGCAGTCAGTCCAGCCTCAGGTGCCCACTGATCTGTTTAGATCTCTGAAGTTTTGCCTGTTCTGGGCATTTCATAGAAATGGAATCAATAACCTGCGACTTTGCGCCTGGACTTTCCACTTGGCATGAAAGCTCTGGCAGGCCGCAGCCCTAGGCCCACCCGACCCTCGTGCCCACCCTTCAATCCTCCTGCAGTTGGGAAGCCAAGCTTCCGGCCCAGACCTGCGGAGACTCGCCCCGAGGGGCGGGGTTGACGGGCAGGGGCAGGCGCGCGCTTGAAGCCCCGCCCAGAGGCGCTGCGCTGGCGGGACCCGGAAGGCGCGCGCGCCTGCAGCCGGTAAACTCCGGCCACTTCTCCAGAAGGCGGGACGAGTGGGTGGAGCCAGGAGGGAAGAGCACCCGTCTCCAGCCCCGCCCATCCGGAGCCCGACCCCAGCACTTGGGGCCGGACCGGGAAGGGCACGTGGCCCCGGCCCCGCCCTCCTCGCTCGGGCCTTCTGCTTCCTCCCGGGTCCGTAGAGTCGGCACCTGCGCCTAACCGCGCACTATGGCTGCGCTGTTGGCACTGCTGCTCCCGGCGGGCAGGATGGGTGCCCGGGTCCGGCTTCGTGCCACCCGGCTCCTGGGCGCCACCACCCGCTGTCCCCCGCCGCCCCTGGCCTTGGCCCTGTTAAGGCCTGGGCCAGACGCCCGGCTGCTGCGCACCGCTGGTGGGGACTGCCGTGTCCACCAGGTAAGCCTCCCACCTCATCCTGACCTCCGATCCCCTGCTGTTAGTGGCCAGGGGCAGGCCACTTCCGCTGCAAGGACAATTTGCACTTGCAGCTCCCCAAAACCGATCACCTCAGGGGTCCCTGAGTCCCCACATCCCTATAAACCAAGAAATGGCTCTTCCCAATAGACAGTAGGTGAAACTGAGGCTCAGAGAGGTATTGGTGGCCTGCCGAAGGTCACACAATGCCCAGCGTTCAACCAGGACAGTGGTGTAACAAGAGAATCTTAGGGGGCCTAGACTTATTGTGAACTTCCTGATGTGGCCTTAGGTGTTGCCCCTTTGAAGTCCCATTCAGGCCTCCACACTAGAGCACTGGCCAAGGAGAAAGTTCCTCCGGGTGCTGCCTTATCTAACMCCTCCTTAGCTTGCTGCTCCACCCTTTTTATCTAACTAGAAGAGCAATCTTCTTCAGGCAGAAAATCCATGGTGTGGAACTGTGTCTTATTCTGGTTGCCTTGCATGATGCTCAATGAAAACTAGTTTCCATTCAGAACAGCTTTCCTTTATTTATTTTTCTTTTTCTTTTAGTGGGTCTCTAATAAAGTAGTAGTGAAGTTTGGAGATACAGGAATAGCAAGTCAGGACCCACAGCCCCAGTCCTTCATCAGGGTGCCTCTAACTCTGCACTCTGGGTTGTATGCCTGACCCAGCATTGCTGACCTGTCAAGGGCTGAAATTAGCACTTTCCAGACAAGAGTCTGGGGGAAATTCCATGGGCTAATGCAGGCCTGCCTGAGCAGGGTGCCTCGCACAGGGGCAGCCCGTCCTGAACTTTCCTTAATTAGTTTTCTAGTAAGTAGCAGTGGGATTTGTTTGGCRTATGCTCTTTCTAAGCCTGTCCTCCAGGTGGAGAAACATCCTCCCCTGCCCTCTCCTCTCCTGCCTGGTGCATGGCAYAAGGGCCTTGCCTCTAAATCCTTAACACAGTCTTTGGAATCCACCGCATACACCAGGCTGCCTCCTATTGATTCTTTATTATTACTTACTTATCTTTTTTAGTTGTTGCTGGGCCTTTATTTTATTCATTTATTTATATGCAGTGCTGAATATATGCCTCATATATGCTAGGCAAGTGCTCTACCACTGAGCCACAACCCCAGCCCTCCTGTTGATTCTTCATCGTTCAACCTAGGCATCCCTTCCTTCAGGAATCCTTCCCTGACCACCAGTGATGCCTCAGGGGCCTCCACTGGCTGCCCCTTAACCCGTGGGGCCAGGCTTCTCTGCATTCTTCATCTGGAATGGCCTTTGCTTGTCTGTTCTGTCAGCTCCATCATCCTCATCCCCAGCCCAAGCCCTCTCCTGATAGGGTTGTGTTCACACAGGAGCACTGAATGTGGCCTCKATTAAATGCTTTCACTTTTCTGTTTCATCACCAGTAAAATGGGATGTTAATAGTTCACACTTCATAGCGTGTGAATGTAAAATGAGATAATGTTCATTCCTGGCATCTGGTATCTCCTAAATTAACATTAGCAATTGTTAAAATCACAGTAAATATATTTTATATAAAATATAGGGGCCTATGATTTTATATAAAATATAGGGGCCTATGATCTGTCCTTGGCTGTCCAGCTCTCTAATAGATGGGTAAAGTCAAGGCAGGATCAGATCCAAACTGTAGTTTAAGACAAAAAGATATTGATCTCCTTGAGAAGACCCTTGTCCAGGATGGCCTGGAGCAGGTGAGAAAGAGGGTCTGGCTTTGGATGGAGCCCAGCCAACCCCTCCTCCGCTGCTTCTAGCTGCATGCATTGGAAGCAAGAAGGCTAAGCCCAGCTGGGGTCTCAAAATATATCAGGCATTTCATTAAGTGCCTGAGAGACATGCCCACCTCTGCCTATAGTTAGGAGCTCTGTTAAAGGGAGCAGTAAAGCACAGAAGAAACCAGCCTTTTCCAGTTAATATGATCCACACTCATGTAAAGCCTGCAGGAATAGGCCACTGACCCCTTAGGGAGGGGACAGGATGCCTAGGCAGATGACTCGCCCTCTGAGCCTGTCCTCTCCTCTGCAGCTCTGGCCTCCCTCATTGTAACTTATAGCTTTCCTACCAGGAATCCTGCCAGGTGCTCCTCCATAGCACWTGTCACCTCTGCCAGCCCTGGTATTTCACTTTTGTTTGTTGTCCCTCTCCTCCTGCTGGACCATAGGCTCCTGGTGGGTTTTGTTTGTTGCTGTGTCCCCTGTACTTGGAACAGTGCCTGGCACTGAGAAGATGCTCATGAATATGCAAGGAATACAGTACAGTTGTAAAGGCCTTGGAACCAGACTTTAGGTTTGAGTCCCAGCTTGGACAGTTCATCTCTGTGTGATCCTTGGTAAGTTATGCAGCCTCTCTGGGCACTCAGGATTCTCTTCTGTTTAGTGGRGGTGCCAGGAATGCCTATCTCACAGATGTGTGATAAGGATTATATGAATCTATATTTCCAAAGTACTCAGAACAGTGCCTGGTACAAAGTAAATGCAGTATAGTGTCATTACAATTTAGCCAATGAATAAAAATAAGTGTCAGTCCAAAATACGATGTCAACTTGTAGGCAGGGTCCTAGGTTCATTCTTCCAACCTTCTTGCCCCTTCTCTAATACAAATTTTGTTCTTTAATATTATTGGGGCAGGGAAGGGAGCATCATATATATGTGGATATGAAAGCACTATGAGTATGGACCCTCATGAGGGCAAGGAAAAATAATGCACAGTGCCCTCCATGTCCTGCAAAAAAAGGACCATTCCTAAAGGAAGACAATTTTCCAGAACTCTCCACCTCTGAGGAGAAGGAAGGAAAGTGGTTGCCAGCCTCCATTTGCTTGGTCAGCACATGTCRCTTCCCCCTGTCCTTAAGGTCTCTGACCAGCCCTGCACCCCCAGGCACAATGGTTGCCAACAGAGGTCGACTTGTTCTGATAAACAAGCCCTACTGCCTCTTGTGGTGATGGGACAGCTGCCAGAGCTGATAGGATGGCAAGCCACAGGCCCTTCCAGGGCTAAACCTGCTATTAAACCGATGGTGGCTGAAAGTCCCTTTCAATTCCCATCCTTGACACTTGGCCCACTGAAACTCAATTATGTGCCAGTCTGTCCTTTCACCAGACTGAGCATAGTGTCTCTGTGGAGGGCCCTTTTGTTTATACCCTCTAGTTTGGCAAAAGGCCTTCTGGCCATAAAAGAAAAATCAAAAGGCAGCCAAACTTCCAGCTACATTGCAAGACAATGAATGGTAGGAATGAGACATTCCAACAGGATTAACAGTTTCCTGTTAGTTTCAAAGAGGGTGATATTTGATAGAGATCTGAAGGTGGCAATGGAGGACCTCTTAGAGGAGGTGACATTTTCATTTCCACATAAAATATGTGAAATGGAAAAGCAGTGGGACCCTCCCCTTCTGTCCTGGGGTGAGCAGRAGAGAAGATCAGCCAGGGGAGTATGCCAGACTGATCCCCTTAGAATTACAAAGCCCAGTACCAAGCCTCACCCTACTCTGTAATACCATACCGCATAGAAAAGCTCCCTAGATCCCCATTAGTCTGCAGTGTCCACAGACAGAAGCCTTTGAGAGAAACAGCATCTGGAGCCTCACCCCAGACATGATCAGCGAGAGGCCCTGCTCAAGCATTGGCTGCCAGGGCAATTCTGGAGTAGGCCAGAAGTCCCAACACCTGGCTGCCAGAGCTGTGCAGGCACAGGGGGCGGGTTTGGAGACTTTTGTCAGGCCCATATCATGTCCATGCCTCTTTGCCATCTGAGAGCCTGACCCCATCTCCTGGGCACTGTGGCTGGCATGCTCCTTCCCCTTGCCTTGCAGTGTGCTCAGCTGTGGCATGCTCTAAAACAGGGGGGAAGCAGTGCAGCTGCAGGCTCTGTAAGCAGAGCAAGCTCACAGGCTGTGCTCGCCACCTGCCTGGACCAGCTCTAGGGACTACTGATGAATCTTGGTTAAAAGTGCTCTCTTACTGAGGTTTGCATTTTCCAACACAGGCATGGTTTGTTTCTCTGTTGTGTTTTTTTGTTGAATGGGTTGTTTTTTGTTTCTCCAGGCCTGGTAGGTGATCCATAAGTATTAACAGATGCCACATTCATTCATACAGACTTCTGTACACATCCTAGTCAATTGTCCAAGAATTTGGACCCTCCCTGTTTCAGATCTRAGGTGTGAGTCTTGGTCCTGGAGTAAATAAGCCATAGCTTTTGCCCCATGTTCTTTTTCAGTAGTGTACAGCATGGTGGTCATGTGCCCAACATGACCATCAGGTGACCTAGGCTCTGATCTTAATGACTTTGGGCCAGTGACTGTGCTGTTCCTCTGTAAGGTGGGAAAAACAGTAGTGTCTACCTCAGCAGGCTGCCAGGAGGATGAAAGGAAACCAAATGGATATGGTGCAGTGCAGCAGAGGACCACCTGGCTCAGAGAAAGTACCTAAAGGAGTATCACTGATGTCCCCCAAGTAAACAAGTCCTGAAGTACAGGAGTCACTCTTGCTGCTCTAACAGACACATGCAATCACTGCTAGAGGTCATCTAACAGGGTCTCACTGGCTAAAGTCAAGGGGTCAGCAAGGCTGGTCCCTTTGGGAGGCTCCAGGAGAGAATCCATTTACCGCCTCCTGCAGCTTCTAGAGGCTGCCTAGTTCCTTGGCTGTGGCCCTGGCCTCCATGAGCCAGCAGCATAGCTTCTCCAGATCCCACCTGCCATCCCCTCTCCCTCTCTGGCACCGACTCTCCTACCAACCCTTACAAGGACCCTGTAATGACATTGGGTCCACCTAGATAATCCAGGATTCTCTCTCCATTTCAAGATTTTTAATACACCTACAAAATTCTTTTGCCATGTAAATAGACAGGTTCATGGGTGCTGGGGATTGGGATTTGGACATCTTTAGGTCCATCATTYTGTCTGCCATACCTAGAAGGTAACCTTTGGTTGCACAGAGACTAAGTGAAACTTAGTCTTAGCTCACTGAAGAGAATAACTGACATTTTAGGGGGTGAAGAAGTGAGTATACAAGCCAGTGATGACCACCAACCTAGTCTGCCTTCTTTGGTATATGTATGCACAGGACCCCAACAGAGCCACTGAGACAACAGGCAGCAACACAGGTGGCATAGAAGGAAAGCAAAGCAAGTCACAGCAGCTGAAAAAGGTCTTTCAAGAATATGGTATAATCGGCGTATCTCTGCACATTGGGATCTCACTCATCTCCGTGGGGCTGTTTTACATGGTGGTCTCCAGGTAAGGTTTCTGATGGTAATAGGTATATGTTTTAATGTCATGTAAGATCCTATATGAATGAGAACTTGATTCCTTTTTATTCCTCCAGCTACTTTTATAGGATCTTTAAAAAAATGTGATAAATTTTACAGCCAAACAAATTTATTAACTTAAACCCTTGCTATAATTGTGTTTTGTTTTGCCTCCCCTCCAGTGGTGTAGACATGTCTGCGATCTTGCTCAAACTCGGATTTCAAGAGTCACTGGTACCGTCCAGTGTGGCAACCAGCACCAGCACGTTTGTGGTGGCCTACGCAATCCACAAGCTGTTTGCACCAGTGAGGATCAGCATCACGRTAGTCACTGTGCCCTTCCTTGTCAGATATTTTCGGAAAGTAGGACTTTTCAAACCTCCAGATGCAAAACCTTGATGGGCACCTTGGTCCTCAGCACTGAAACCCTGTTTGTTTTAAATTACCTTATTTGAATTGGTTTTTAATATTGTAGGTTTTGGGGGGGTGGTAGGAAGAGGCCTGTTGTTATGTTCTCATGGGTTAATTTTACCTTTGCCAGCCAAAAGCAGGTTTTTGAATAATTGTAATTTTTTTTTTTTTTTGCTTTTTAGTTTGTTAATGCTACTCATCAGAGGGCTTTGTACATGTCTGTCAGCAAGACATCACAAATGAGCTAGCATCTCAACACCACAAACACCTATAGATCATTCCCTCTAGAAAACCACTGGTAAGGGTGTAACTGCAAAAAACTCAGGGGGCTAACCTTTGCTCAAGTTCTTAAAAAGCAATGATTGATTTAGCTGGTTTTAAAAATTTCCCCTCTTGAGTTACCATCAACGGCCTGCAGTTTAACTTGCAATGTTCTACAAAACAGCTGCTTGTGCTGCACAGTTAATAGAGCATAACTTAACAATGTGTGCTAATTCCACAATCTAAATTTAGCACCAGCCCCATGACCCGCATTACACTTTTGGGAAAAGAAAGCATTTCTGCTGTTTCACTGGTCCCAAAACACTTTCAAATCTGAACATGGGGCCCATCTACAATGGCTTTTCTGAAGTCAAGATCATTTCTCTGTTCAGGTAAAACATGGGAACCTTGTCCAAGAGCATCACTTGGCTTCCAGTGCCCATATTCACAGAGGAATTTGGCACATATGAAAAGCTGAGACAATCTTTGCTTAACTCTGTTTCAAACTTCAGATATTCCAGAAGTCACAATGTTTACACTAATTACTTTTTTAAGCTAAAATTATATACACTTCCTTTAAAATTATATACACTTCCTTTAAAAAACTAGTAGCACTTAGCCAGGTGTAGTGGTACACACCTATAATCCCAATGACTCAGGAGCCTCAGACAGGAGAATTTCAAGTTCAAGGGAAGCTTGAGCAACTTAGCAAGACCCTCAGCAACCTAATTAGTGAGACCCTGTCYCAAAAATAAAAAGCTCTAAGGATGTAATAAAAGCACTCCCTGAGTTCAAACCCCAGTACCAAAATAAAAAGAAAACTTTTAAGAAGGCAACCGTGAAGTAACACAAACCAGGGAGTGGAGGCAGCAGGTATAAATTAGTCCACCAAGCCAGTTTCATCCAGCCAAGGGCAAGTGTCAGGAAGATGAGACCAGAATTAGAAATAACTGAGGCTTCCCCCCTGTGGGATTCAGCATCAATTTCTTTCCTGGGGGCTGTGCTCTGATACAGGGTCTTGCTCCACACTCTGGGAACCCGGTTTTAACAGTTACTCTGCTGCATGTTTGAAGRTTGCATTTATCTTTCTGACTCACCATTCCTTTTTTTTAAGACTAAAGGAACTATTAAGTGACTACATTGGTTACTGAGTCTGGCTGTTGACACTTTCCTAGTTAACCCATAGTTGCCCAGGCCAATCAGTATCTGTTAATATTTAAAAGAATTTCTATGGGTCAGACATCCATTTGCAATATCACTTTATAGTGGAACTATATATTTTTCCCACTTTAAAATTGTTAGTCCACTTCCAAAAGCACTGATTTGAAACTGGAACCTAATTCCAAAGGATATCTCCACAACTGAGCAAGATGCCCAACACCAGTGCTAATTTCTCTTATGGTCTAGACAGCCATTAAACAGTGATCTGTCAGCCTTGGGCTCCTAACCCCCATATGCACCAGTCTCCCAGATACCTAGCAATGCCTATGCAAAAAGCTGACCTTGCCGCTTGAGGTGATGCACTATCATCCCTGCTACTTGAGAGAGTGAGGCAGAAAAATCAAAAGCTCAAGGCAAGCCTTGGCAACTCAGTGAGACCCCGTCTCACAATTTAAAAAAGGCCTGGGTGTGCAGCTCAAATAGAGCACTCCTGGGTTCAATCCCCAGTACTGCCAAAAAAAAAAAAAACAAAACACTATAGTCTTACAGGACTAAGGGTTTAAATCTGCCAGTAATGGGAATGGAAAAAACAAGCAATAATACAAATCATAACAAATAGCCATATCACTTCCTCACCCCCAATCCCATTCTACTCCTGTGGCCAAGACAAAAAAAAAAGAGAGAACAAGGTCAAAGGATCAGGGAAACCAAGCAATCACCAGCAAGATGTACAGACTGCTTGTATTTACATTGTTTTTAATGGAACAAAAGGAATGAAACTGAACTATTTTAAAAATGCAAGCTGTTTGCCCGATTTTTTAATCTGACATAGTAAAACGTTCAATTCTGTGAAATAAAGTTTCTGAAGATTTTGTTTTCTGGTAAACCATGATTGTTGATCACAAACAGCACTGACCAGGGTGCCAACGTGCTGCCAGTGAGCTACTGGTGCTGGGGAAACATCCTGAGCATACTTAGCTAGCATCACTGCCATCGCATGGCACTGAGACAGACRGGGCTGGATTGTACATGAAGTGTTACTACTCTGGTCTCAGAGTGGCTTGCCTTAAGGGGCTCACCTCTGCAGTTTCACTCAGTCATGTTTTGAAGCCTAATACTTTGTCACTTAGATGTGGAAGTTTCTTTGTGCTGGCCACATTGACATATCTGAAATCTAGTCTCTTGCCTTGATTCAGCCATGAAAGCAACATTTCTCTACTCTGTCCAAGTTAAACACTTCCACCTTTCCTTCATTGCTGTCACCCTATCTTTGGTTGATGGACAGAGGACACCAGGAACTACAGACTATCCAACAGTCAAGAGGGTGAGATATGCTCTCTCTGCCACAAAGTCAGGGAATGTGAATTTAACCTGGGGCATAACCTGTTCACCACAATGAACAGGTGGTGAAAATATTAATTAGCCACACACTACAGGTACACCCCCCCCAAAAAAAAGCCCTTAACATTTAGAAACAACTCCTACATCACACAGCATTAAGGAGGACAAGAAACCACAGGCTTAATAAAGTTGACAGACACTGAATCTAAGGGGATGCCATGGAAGGAAAAAACCATATAAAAACCTTTATTTTAACATTTAAAAGGAAGTCACATATTCATTCCAACAGCTTTCCCAGGCTTGACCACCCAATAAGTTAACACAGACACTCAGGTACTTGAAGGTTGCTATACAGCTCCTTAGCCGACTCAGGGCAAAGTGGTCACTTTTCTTCACAACCAGACTCCCAGTCTGTCTCCTGCAAGGCCACCTTGCCTGGCAYAGCTGTGGGGACAGCTACAGGCGAAACCCGTAAAAGCAGCACGACTTGTGGCTGCTTTCCCTCTGAAGGGTGTGGTTACTGCAGTGGAGCTCTCTGGGCAGGGAGGCTRAGGCACTGCATGCTCAGAAGGACACGTGACATTTCCCATAGTGCTCTCTTTAGGTCAAAGGCAGGTAGGTAAGACGAGTCTCAGCAGCATGTTCCTGAAGACTATATAGCAGCCCTGGTTCAAYACTTCTCTCCCTGCACGATTATGATTATTTGCTAGTTGACTCTTTGCCTTTTTGGCAATTCAGTGGCTTTGATGAATTTGCTGTGATCCAGGGGTGTTCAAGTACTTCACTTAGAGTTGGCCTCTGGCTTGGATTATGCTTCAACAGTCTTGAAATGAGGTCYCTGGCTCCCTCCGTCACAAAGTCAGGGAATGTGAATTCAACCTGGAGCACAAGTGACAACATGTCACAAACACGAGTTAGAGAGACCAAGTTGCCTAGCTATTCCAACCTTAGCCTAAAGTTCAGGCTGATAAGAAAATAATTCTAATAGTGCTGGTCCTTTTGTTCGTCTTACCCGTGATATTCTTCTGTAGGTCTCTTGGTGTGTGTTTGCCTCAAAAGGAGGCTGCCCAACTAGAAATTCATAGCAAAGAACTCCAAGGCTCCAGAGATCCACCTTCTCGTCATGCATCCGGCCTTCAATCATCTCAGGGGGCAGGTAGTCCAGGGTGCCACAGAGAGTGGTTCTCCTAAAGAATGGAGGCTCAGGTTGATGTGCTCTGGTTTTAAAATCATGGCAGCTGCTAAATCATTAATTATGCTAACACTGACTGAGCGCCCCCACCAGGCCAGACCCCATGCTATTCAGGAAGCACTGTCAACCCCATTTCTGGGCAGAGCATAGAAGAGAGAGATGTGTAAGATCACATAGCTAGCAACCAAGCTTTAGCCCAAATCTGTCCAGCTACAGAACCTGAATAATCTAGAAGAAACTGAAAGTATCGTTAAAAAAAAAAGCTGTCTTACAAAGTTCTCTGTAAATGTAGTTCACGTGACACCATAATCAGAAAAATACATTTAAAAAATGTAAGGGATGGTCTAGATCAAGACCAAAGAATGAAATACCATGGATGGACCTTTATTGGTTCTGATTTCTAAACATAGCTATAGTAGGGCCCGGTGGCTCACACTTGTAATCCTAGCAGCTGGGGAGGCTGAGGCAGGAGGATCACAAGTTCAGAGCCAGCCTCAGCAAGTGAGGTGCTAAGCAACTCAGTGAGATCCTGTCTCTAAATAAAAAATACTAAATAGGGCTGGGGATGTGGCTCAGTGCCCCCAAGTCCAATCCGCAATACAAAGATAAAATTTCATGGACAACTGGGGAAATTCAAACATAGATAAAGATATGAACAACACTATTAATTTTCTAAGGTGTAATAATGGTTGTGATTATACAGGACAATCCCTTGGTTTTTAGGTGGTGTTCAAGGATCATGATGCTGTAGCCTATTTTCAAAAAAAACAGATGCAGCCAATATGGCAGTATTAAGACCTGCTGAATGGAGGCACTGGGCAGACCAGCATGCTGTCCACTACCAACTCGGCCATTTCATAACAAGGTTAGGAATAAGCTAGGGGTGACAGACATCCAGTCGGGGGCAGACTATGGAGGTTCCTGTTGCTTTGAGCTGCGCTCAGCCTTGCCTGGTGTCTCGTGAGCACACAAATGTACATTCAGTGAAACAGGTATGCAGCTACCTGTGCAGATGTCCAAGCTCTCACCCCCACTGAGACTACATCAGGGGCTTTCACACAGTGGTCCACAATAACCAGGAAACTGTTATAGTTATTAACATTCAGGATGCAGGGTGACGAGGCCATCAACATTTATATAAATGATCTCTTCAGAAAAAATAAGCCTTGTATTTTCTGTCATGGTGACACCACTGGACACATTAAGGTCAAGCTAAGCCCTGCAGCCCCATGAAACTACAATTCTAAGAGACCATAACAGCAGATTTAACATATGGCAGACAACAGAAATGACCTATTAAGACCTCACCCCATGTTGTATATTTTAGGCTACACAATTTCTTTTAACTGACTTTATCTTAATAATTACCACTTGATGACTTTTAAAGTCCTCCCTCAAAGCTGACAAGCCTGAACAGTAGATGTACACTTTACAATGTCCCACTCAACACCAGGYGTCAAAGCTTATTTAAACCCAAATCAATTTAAAACCTGCTCTTGTTGGGCAGGTTCACCTAAGGCCCAATTGTTTCATTAGATGATGTCTCTGTTCATTTTTAAGGGGGTTAAAGAAAGGACTATTCCCCCTG